ATTCTTGAACAAGGACATGGGTTGTGAATAACCCAAAGACAACACTGTCTTACAGACTGGACTATGACCACTCAGAACACAGGGCACTGAATAATATCCTGACTCGTGTCCCAAGATATGTGTTTCATCAGTAGCACAACTCAGCTTGGATTTGAAGCAGCCGGTTTGTATTTAAGTGCGATCTCTTACACATACTGCGAGTACATCTGCAGAGAGATGCAAATCTGAGTGCTGTCAGCGTAAAGAGCCTGTGGCATCTTACTAATTCCCAGTGGCTTTATAAATACAGTAAAAAAAGGCACAGGATGAATCCCTTGCGGCACATCATACGTAACCAGACCTCAGGGAAAGAAAGAGCCACTCCTTGTTTCATGAGAACTTTGATTTCTGGACACTTACTCCTGCTATCATGAAGCCATCCCAGAATGCAGACTTGAGAACTGCTGCATCAGGACAAAACTTAATTCCTTACACCTAAAGCAACAAACAAGGCTTCCCAACACTTTTTTCTGTTCATTTGGTGTAGGTTTTTACTTCATACATGAATCTCATTAACAGATTAAGCCATGACTGTTCCATAGCTCTATAAATCACCAGTTAAAAAAAAAACAGAGCATGCTTTAGATATATAAACTCATTCTATACAGCTGGAAACTCTGCTCCCTGCATTTCCTTCCCTTGATCTTGTTACACGCATACACACACAAGTTTTCTGTAAGCTACCTTCTTATTCTCCTTTCAGCAGCTCTGCCACTTCTCTCTTCTCCCCGTTTCATCTCTTTATTACTTCTAGTTCTCTGTCACAATTCTGTCTACTTAGATGACACATTCAGTGCCACCTGCAGCTTCCTCAGCATACAGAAAGGACTGGATGGGGCATTCACAAATCACTGCATCTAAGGTCAAGATGCCCAACAAACAGAACCGTTGCAAGCTCAGCTAATCAGTAATTCAGTTCTCTCACTCTGTGTGTGCTTTCCATTCCAGACCACGTTTTGAGTGGCAAATCAAACCAGCTGAAGTGGAATAAAAAGGAAGTTCTGAAAGGAAGAAGAGACAAAAAGTTCATGTTTGTCCTATAGCCTCAAAACCTACAGCTTCAGCATTCACAGACTGCATTTAACTCCACAGCATCACATACATTTGAAAATGCTGCTCAGCTACAGGAAAAAGGTTGTTATAAACTATGGAAGTATAAACATGAATGTTTGACTGTGAGATTAACACGAATGTGAGATTTGTGCTGACCAGTATTTTACATCTTCTCCTCTTAGAGAAACTACAGGCTTTGAAGCAAACGGCAAAACTCCTTTCCCTTTGAAGGCAAGTAGTTTTGCCATGACTGCAGTAAAGCCTAATCCAGCAAATGCCTATCAGTTCTGCTCCTGTATTAACTTCACTTTCACCTACCATCAAGATCTTACATTGCTATGTAATGCAGTATGTTGAATGGAGGAAATTACACCAAGAGCAACTGAAGCCTCATTATTCAATGTTAAATGAAGGTACAGTGCGGACACACACCAAAAAATGGTCTATCCATAATTATATCCGTTAAGGCTACAATTCAACCCATCTAAAGTGTTTCATATTTAAATGGAAATAGGTTACATCACCTTTCTAAAAGCAACTCAGAAATGTTTCACCTCCCGAATGCCAGGAAGACTTCAGTCAAACAGAGTTTTGTGAAGCAGTACGTAACCGCTCTTGGAAACCTACATTTTTTGAGGAAGAAAAAACCCAGCAATCCTGCACTGTAGACTTCCACAAACCTGACGAGGGCTTTCTGGGCAAGGAGACAGAAAGTCACCCTTTCAGCAACTGAAAAAGCAAAACACACAAAGAGGGGGTTGCCCTGCCGAATGAGGCTGCATGCAGCGCGGAGATCTTCACAGACAAAGCACAGCTGCTGCTCTTTGCAATGAGGGATTAGCAGTCTAGGTCAAAGGAAAAAAAGCCTCTCTGTAGCTAAGTGAGCAAACTGCAGAATGCATCCTCAGCACAGAGAGAAAGGGCCATCGAACCAGCTTGCTAACTGTGCAGAAGCTTTTGGGAACAGAAACAACTCCAGCATCCGCTTCTTGACAGAACACGTACAGATACTGCTGGTGAACAGCAGCGATGCTCTGCTGGAGGACTGAGATTGCAACGACCTTTCAGTTATTCTTAAACTGCATTTCTTTCCCCTTTCCCTTCTCTGTGTTCATGCATTAACAAGCGCTTTTTCTTTGTGGCAAAACCAACACGTTACCTGTGGGGCTTTAACAATCGCACCTGTAAGAAAGGGCCTAGAGATAACAGAAGCAGCTCTTTTAATTGTCTCTCGTAGAGACCAATGCTGTTAAAAATACACATTTGCACACACAACTTTCTCTTTTTAATACATTCAAATCTCTTTCAACCTTCTTACAGTTGAGTCAGATTATATATTGAATTAAACACTGAAAACGTTACTGGCAATTAGGCTGGTATCTAAAATGGTGATTTAATTGCATGTTACAGGGAGCTTTGGACTTATTTCAGTTTGTGGAATTACTTGAACTACAAGTATCAGAAAGTTGTACTGTTAAAAAAAAAAACAAGAGCTTTTCTTCTCTTCCCCAGTCAAATTAAAGCTAAGTAAGATTTACTCAGCTGGAAAATATCCATACAAACAAAAAGGTGTAACATCATGCACTCCAGCAAAGTCACATTTCCTTGCTGGCCGAAATCTGCCCTACCTGATTTCACACCCTGACTTCCACAGCTGTTAGTAATTGCCATCATCACAAAGGCCCTTTTCAATAAAGCTGGGGTTGCAGCTTCTGACAGATGGGGAAGTTCTCAGGAGCTGCGCTCAGGCACGTCTTAACATCTGTACAAGTTCCCTAAATCCTTGTGGGAGTTACTTACATGCTGTACTCCTCCAGCTGAGAGACTGCTCCTGACTATTGACTCTCTATTACAAGTCATCTGCACAAAGCAAAATACCATTGCACTGGTACAGCAAATCTAAATTTAAGCGTGTGAGCTGAAAGACTTTGTAGCCTGCATATTTAAAACACAGGCACATGTCACCATTCCCACCCCCCCAGTATCATCACTTTAGGAACTGTTATTAGTCCTACTGAAGCTGCTGTCATGGCCATAAAAACTTATTCCCCATTACGGTCAAAAAGCTATTCTCTATGTGTCAATTAGGGAAGTTTTAATTAAAGTTTTGAAAATTCACATACAAGTAGGAATCTGTGAGGTCAGAAATGGTTTTTGGATCTACATCAAATATTTCTAAGGGAACTCTTCATTTACATACTTTCACAGCATTAGAAGCTTTGTAAACTGTATCCGTACCGCCATTTACATCGCTAAGAAACCAAAGGATGTTCAATTTCAGTTTCTCAAATAAAGGCTATCACCAATACACACTTGTATGGAGTGTGTGTGGCACTCCATCCACATTTATGGAGCACAGCTGAATTTGAAAAGTGCACCAACAGACCAGAGGGACAGACAAAGGTGGAGTACTTTTAGTCTTCATATCACACTGTAAAATCATGTTAGAACATATTTTCAGGTAAATATCTATTCCTTCCTACAATGCATCAAATGAATAGTAAAACTTCAGTCACCTGTAAATGATGAAGTTCAGGACAGGTCAACTTCAACTTCTCCCCCCGCCCCAAGATCACAGGCTCACAAGTACATACATGACATGAGCTGAAACCATGCAGAGAGCTGGGGCCTGTACGACTTTTGGACTAGCTCAGCCCCCTAAGTGTGTTAAGGCTTATTGATCTCCAGACATTCTTCAGCACTTCTAATGGCTGCACTGTAGTGGGACATACATTCTATGGCTGCGTATGTCCTTATGTTGTAGGTGGATAAGCTATTTCTTCTTCCAAGAGCTCCTCTACCATTTCAGCTGTACATCTCTGTAAAGGACACAACTTCTCTCCTCCTTGTCTCAAAAGGAATGATTTCTAGAAGCAAGTATCTATTTAAAAACAGCAGCAAATTCTGCCACAGTTTACCAGAGCATTTGAATCCTCATTACTCTGGTGTGTGAAAAGTGGTAAATTCCATTTCAGAAGTTTCGACATCTCATCTTAGTGAACAGAGATAAGGAGGGGTTTTGCAGCCTGGTCCCTCACACCCAGCTCGTGCTATTTCTTCTTTATACTTCTTAAAAGGAAGCATCAGGAAACACCTAAATGGAGGAGGTGCTGACAGACTGAAAACTTTAATTGAGACTCCTTTCCCACAGCGCCTCCCACACAAAGCTGCAGAGTTTAAAGATTTTAACAGCTTATAAGCATAAGAGACAATTCTTTTTCCTTTGACCTCACTTAATCCCTGCTAAATTGTACTAAACCAGCAGATTTCACCAAAAAACAGCTCTCAGAGCTAAACAAGGCCTTTAAATTTACTTCTGCTGGGCGAGGTACGTGATGTACCACTGCTGCGCCTCCATTCCCAGTGTCTTAGGAAGTGAGGGACAAACCATGTTAACATCCTTCTCATACTCAGCACACACAAGCACTGGCCAGTACATGCAGTGGGAGGTTTTCTCCACCACTCCCCCTGCTCCCCCCCCATGTCAGCAGTAAAGTTGTGGGGAAAAATCCTTTATACTAAACACCTACTGCTGAGCTGAGAACAACCAGAGAGAAGCTTGCCCAGAAGCAGGTAACTTCTATGCCAACTTCTTGCACTCTGTCCTAGCTGAGAGTTTCCAAACACGCAAAACCTTCCTCTAAAAGGCAAGCTGCTGACACACGCTTCATGTACACTGCTCTGCTGCGGGAGAACACAGTCCTGTCCTGTGCTCTTCAGCCCTGGCCTGTAACCCAGAGGTGTCGTTGTAGTGCTTAAGGAATCCACAAGTCACCAACAGTCTCAAATGAAAGCAAACTCCATTCTACAAGGGTCTGGGGCAATGTTTTGTAGATGTTCCCTGTAACAGTACCATACAAAACAATGAAAAAGTTGACCAAAACCACAGAGTACCAACACCTATACATACACATGATGGAAAAGTCAGGGCAACAAAGGGCTAGGAAAACCAGGACAACCAGTTCCCCCAACTCCACCCTCCTCCCAAACACTTATGGCAAGTAATATTCAAAGACAAGTACAAATGTGATTTTCAACCCAACTAGTGTTTCAACTCCACTAAAGCTCTGCCTTTGAACTTACAGGGCGTGCACCTTCTCAGCGGAACAGAAGGAGGCTGTGGGAAGAGCATGAAATGCAAGAGCATCGTGGGAAAGACCAGAGTCACAAATGCCATGGCTCCTCCCCAAAACCCATCCGGAAGACCTGAGTAAGTGCTGGATGTGCCCCGTTACTCGTTTGCAGTTAATCGTCTTTCAGGAATATGTGATTTATTCAAAATGCCGCAAATTACATCAACTCCTGCAACCTCCACTGCTCAATCATGGCTTTTTCCAAGCATGCATTTTGTGAGCAGCATATATGTGAAGTTCCCAAATCTTAATGCATGTTTTTAAAAACATGAGGATGAAATCAGTATTTTTATCAATGCCTTTTATTTACACCAAACTCTACTGAGACCTGAGACTTAACGACAGTCTCAGCAAACCCCTCCAACCCTCACTGAGCCACTTCATTTAGATACAGGAATTTTGTAATCACTTTTCCTCCATTTATGGTTCCCTTTCATAAACAGGCAATTCACAGAGTAAGTTTATGCATCTCCTTGTGTCACAGAATTCATATTCTCTAATTCAGTTTTCCCCGCAAAACCATAAAATGGTTACCAATATTTGATAGCCCTGGATCCACTTTAAAAGCTTCAGTAGGGCACCATCATGTGTCCCTCCTTTCATAAAGATAATCATCTAAAGCCTCTGCTTCCATCTGTAGTGTTTTCCTTTGCTTTCTTTCAAGAAGTGTTGCTAAGGAAACAGGCATCACCTACCGTTAGGTCCAAGAGTCTAGCAAGGCTTTTCTCAGGAAAAATAGAACAGCTACAAAACAGGTAATTAATTGTTTTTAATAAAGGAAAAAAACCCAAAGGCAGAGTTACTGCATCCCCAACACACACCATCTACATACAAGAACCATATATTTATTAGGGCATGCTCCTGCTCCCTCCTATACAAACTTGTTTCACTTTGATTTCATAATGAACTAAGGAGAAGCATTTAACCCATTCTTAAAGCAGAAGTTTGGATTTTCCTCCACTTCTAGAGCCAGTCTGCTGCTCAGCTCTGCCTTTTGAGAAAAGGCAGTATCCAGTTCTGCTGAGCAGCAGTTCCCTGCGTGCACAAAATCATTACAGACCTACTTACTGAACTGACTCATGCAGAGTAACTGAGCCTGGCTCAATAAATTCACATTTGTATACTTCATTTAGAGTTTCTGGTACTGTGAGTTTACATCACAACCCCTTTTACTACTAAACAATTCTATTCTACTGGAACAGATTTGAGGATTTAGCCAAATTAAAGGGATGCTATTTGTTAAATTGATGTCTACAACAGTTCAGCAACAAGCTTTTTTCAGCCTACATGAACTTCAGAACAGTTCCAAGTTTCAGTGAAGTCTCATCTGTGCATGGATGACATGGCAAGCAAAACACATGGGCCTCTACAAAATACCCCTATGTCAAAATAATTTTGCCCCAATGCCATTAAAGGTAACCAGTCATCAGTTGAAAATTAAAGTGCTAATACCTGAATTTTATATTTTACCAGAAGCATTTTGAAAAACAAAAGGGGGTCTAAGATTATTAACACCATCCCTGGTGGTCACACCATAATAAATACATATAAATCTATATGTAGACATTGTATATATACGTATAGATATGGTGATTTCAGACTGTCAAGAGGTGACACTGCTCCCTGCAGAGCTTAATCGTGAGAGTGACAGTGTAAGCTCCGTCTCACAATTACCAGGCATTTTGCATTGGTGGCCCCCAGAGAGAGCAGCAATAGAATAAAAAAAGCTGACTTTCAGCAGTGGTCTGCTATAAATCAGAGCCACAAAGACAACCCACAAATTATTATCAGCAGAAATTAATTCTGACCATGACTTCTGTGAACAGTGAAGGTCACAGCAAATGTCAAACCCATGTATAATTCCCTCAACTCTGCAGTTCAAGAACTGCAGTCACACACATGGGTGTGCTTTGCCCTGGCTCAGCAGCCATGACTCTCAAAACCACAGCAACCCACAGGAAAGGCTTTAGGAAGCTTACACTGAGTTGGAGGGTCTGATTACAAGGAAGGTTGAACGAGCCTGTGATTAGTAAAAAGAAACAGGAATTAAACAGAGTAGTAACCTCAGCTAAAGAGAAGAGGGAAGCTGCCCTGTCTGCACAAGTACTTGCCTCTAGTCTTAAGGCAGTCAGTCCAACATCGATATCAATGTGTCAGACATCCAGTATTTTTTATTGTCACCCCTTTGCCATCCTGTAGTCGGGTGGTTAACTTCACTGTGAGGAGCAGGAGGAAAAGGTCAGTGTTTTTCACAGAGAGCAAGCAGCTGATATGGCAGCAACATGGACTGAGCATCTTGAAAATTCAGACAAATCTAGAGCGGTAGTTGATGCCACTGGTAGCCAAATGCTCGTATGGAAACTACACCCAAATTCAGTTATGAGAAAGCTGAGTTGCAAGTTTCACTTCCTTCAGTCTTGTGCTTCTTATCCCAAGCTCCCGTCTGTTTTCTTGATTACCCACATGTAGGCTGAATGTGTGACAGCAGCCATGCTTCTTGGGTGGAGTGGTTCAGAAGAACACACAGCAAGAGACTGATTGCATCATACAGTCTGTAGGGACAGGCCTATGCTGGTTAAGGAGAGTGGGTTACATATTAGTTCAGAACTGAAATCCAGGTTTCAGCCATTATGCTAATCCACTTAAGGCCTGGAGTCCTCTCATTTTTCTTCACTGCTTTCTTCAACGATAGAAGGCTCTATCATATAATGTCTCCCTTTATCCACCTCTTCCCTACTGTTTCCCTCCCCAGATAAATATTCTAGCCTTGAAAGGATAAACCAGAGATAAAACTTAATTTATACACCTATATTTGTTACATCCACGAGACGTAACATATGACTTCAAGTTATATGAAACAGGTAGAAAAATTAAACTAAGAATCAATAAATGAAAGCATTTCATCCATTATCTCAAGCGCACGAGAGCAGGAGTTTAAAACTTCAGTGCCAGAACCTAAGTCGTAGTGCTGAACAGAATACATGAAAAAGTAATTTATCAACCTGTTACGAAACTCTGTGGTAACCTGCTTCCAAGTTCATCCTATTTTCTTGAAGGAGCTGTAAAACACAAGGTAGTTTTCATGATCTGGATTGGTTTATTTTCACATGTTCAGGTGGGATATTCAATTAACACAATCTAAAGGACTACTTTGCCCATGATAAACTTCTCGGGTCCTAATAAACAATATACCGTAAAACATTTTAGCAAGGTTAGGGGATTTATCCAACTAATCTCCTAGCAAAATTATCTAAAATTCACTAAATCTGAATCTATCCTTTCATAAAGTTCTGCAGAAGATTTTAATAACACACTTCCTCTCCCCTGCATTTCACTGAGAAAACTGCAGAGAACATCAAATTCTAACACATAGATTTTATTAGGATACAGTACTAGCATTTTTAACTCTGGGTATTCTCATCCCTCCTCTCACAACTTAGGCAGATGCATCCAATTAATGATGAATCATTCTCCATAAATTTCCTGTTTAGAACATACTGGCAATACCAGCAGAACAGCCTACAGAGCTCAAAATGGAGAAGAGAAAGTCACTTGGTCACACATCACCACCGTATAGCTTCCAGACCCCAAAAAGATGTTTCAAGTGGGGGGTGCAGGTGTCCCAAGAAAGAAATGGTTCACTTCAGAGTCCTAGATGAACCATCATTATGCTATGAGAAAGAAACTACACTATCGCACGCAGATAGAGCTGTGCACACCACGCACTGTACACAATACACAACTAGAGATCACTACCAGAATTAAGGAAAACTTTATTTCTCATGCTCCTAAGCACTGCTCAGCGTAGTTGTAATGAAATGGCATGTGAAGGAAATGGGGGATATTTGATCACTAAGCAGCAGAGTGTGTAAGAGCAGCTGTTCTCCTGTACCGTTTTACTCACTGAGCGCTGGGCCACAATTTCACAGGTGCTGAAAGAGATAAGAATGAACTAGACAAACAACCTGCTCCTGTTTATCCACACTCTGTCCTCAGATCAACCCAAGAAAAGGTCCTCCAGTGTCAAATAAAGTCAGAAGAATATCTGCCTGTATCCTCAACTGAAAAGTTTGGTCAAATTCCACTTTCTGAAGTGGACAGCCCACTCTCATTCTATGTATTCCATTGAGAAACGTTTGCCTTCCCTGAAGAAGCCTTTCATTTTCTCTCTCTTTCAGGAATTGTCCTGTCTTCTGCAGGAGCCTATTGCCCACACCCTGCTGGATCAAGCTATAATGTCCTACTTTCTGATCCCTGCTAGGGAGGGCCTGTGGAGCCTGAAACTCTGCAAGCTCATAAGTGTTTGAAAGGTTATTCCTCAAATACTCTCCTCTGGAAGCTCTGTAGTTGAAGAGACTAACATCAGGAAGGGAACTGATTGCAGGTAACCCTCCCTTTCTCTTTTCAAATTATGACTGATAGAAGGGAACAACTTTTTCTTAGGTTCAGATACAAACTTCACATTTCAGTAGTCACATCCAAAGTTTATTTGGCTTTTTGGTTTGCTTTAAAAACAAGAAACATTTCTGGTGCCACAAACATGAAAAAAGGTTCCTCACAAAAGGCAACAAACCCCAACGTGCCGCTAAATAACGTGTTATTGTAAAACAACTTCTGATCTCCCACAGGTTTTTGAAAAACAGGCTGGTATATAGTTCCATTTCTCTCATCTTGAAAATTACTGAACTAACCTCTGACTAGCCTAGAATAAACTTCCACAGCATGTGGTCATCATTTAAATACTCCACTCAAGGTATTTCAGTTCTCTTTAATTTGCATCACTTTTCATGTATTTTGACTTCAGCTTTCAGAGTTAGAACGCAGTGACAGGGATCTTGCAAGCAATTTGAAAGGTATGCCAGAGTGCAGCCCTATTTGATTTGGAAGAATGGACAAATCTGTAAGGAACAATCAGCTTCTTCCTAGTCCTAGGGGGTAATTTTCTGTACAAGCTCACCGTTCTCAATCAGGCACTGTGAAGTACACACTTAACTGGAACAGCCTCCAGTGCAGGGGACTGGCTGTTTTTCCTCCAGTCTCGCTCACTAACGGTTAAGATTTTAAAGCTCTTAACCTTCAACAGAGAAATTGCTTTGAATTTCATTATAAGCATCTTCTCATTGACCAGTCTGATTGCAGAGTCTTTAAAGGACACAATCAAAAACATCCCTGACCACATAATAAATAAAGCCGACACAATAATAGGTCTTTCAGAATTCTATAGGAGATGAGCAGTTGATTCCTTCAAGCTGAGCAGAGAAGCATGAAATGAACTTCAGCTTGCAACAAACTAGGGAGACATGTAAGAAAGAACATGTCCCATTTTCATATTACTTAATACTGAGATTGACAAGGCATTGTAGCAACACAGAGGAAGATCCTGCAATGGAGGAAAGCCCTAAATCTAAAGAGATCCGGAGGCACCAAGTATTTTAAGTGATAACAATTTTAGAGGTCTACACATGCCAGAACGTAGTTTCTATTCTAAAGCACTATAAACAGTCTACTGTAACTCAGTGGAACAAAATTCCATTGATTTTTTAGAAAATATACTTAAGAAAACTCTTAGAAAAAAATAAGTAGAAAGCTTGCTACTAGCTCTAGTGATAAACTTATTAGTTTTCACTCTATGCAAAGGAAATGGAACAATATTAAGGTGAATGAATTTAGGTGTAGATCAAAAAATGAAGGATTATGCTGCCAGGGAGTGAAGGATTATCATCACTTACCTCCCTCATCCAGAAGCTTCCCACTCAGGGGCTGGGATGTATCTGAAGAGTAACATGTAATGGAAATTTGTAGCATTAAATTAACTGCAGCTGATTGGAAGCACCTGATGGAGAAGAGGTGAGAATACCTGCTGTTTTAGAAGTGTGAATAGGATAATCCCCAAACCTGACTTTCTGGTCTTCTGCCCTGACATTAACTATTAAGGTTACAATCTGTCTGAACACTGGAAAAAATACTGTAATAGTCAGTTACAGTAAGCTACTGGAGAAGTTTCCAGACCAATCACAAGAAAAAAGGCCCAAGTTATGGTTTTTAACCAAAACCATAGCCTCATGACACCACTAGTCAAATAACCAGGCAATACACTTAGCATCCAAAGGAGATACAGGTTTTCCTTGACCAGTACAGGCACACAGCCACAAAACCCAAAACAAACCAAAGCACACCTAGCATCTCCTCAGTAGACTATTTAAATAGCTAAGTCAAGGCTACAGAAAACAATGTCTTACCTAGTAAGTGTGTACTCCCTGAGTCCTGAATGCAGGTTCATGGCAGAAAAAGTACCTATGCATCCACGCAATCGTTTATCTCGACCAATCTTCCACGTTACAAACAGTGGGCTGTTTAGGGAAGAGAAAGAGAGACATGATCACAGAAGCAATACTGACAGTTGGGGTGAAATTTTAGCAACAGTGCTCTTCCCTTTCGGGCAATGGGGGGCAGATCACTCAAATAACTGTATCTGAGCAGGGCCATAGTATGTAGAAACGTCCTTTGCAATTCTTTTGACTGTTGTAGAAATGTTGGTTATGTGATACAATAGAAAGTAAGATGACTGGAATAGTGAACGGACAGAATCAAAGTGCTTGGTAACAGACACAACATGCTCCGTGTCCTTCACTGTTACCCATCAGGCTTCTCCTGCGAATGGGAAGCCTCACCTTATGCATCTCTACATAAGGAACCCCTTACAGAAGGGAAAAATGCCCGTCACACAACCCATCCCTCCACCTGAGCACAAACACTTTGGTCCTCAACACTGCTAGCAACAACTACCAGAAATCCTTGGAAGGTAAGAAAGTTTAGGAACACTCTCCAGACTTAAAGAACTGCCTGAGGAAAGGGTATTTCCTCCATGAATCCAAAGTCGGTACTTAAGAATCTCAAAAATTGCCAGAAGTGGAGCAAAATCTGTACAAGTCGAACATGTCTCAATCATATGAGTGTGACAGTTACAAAGAAACACTTCTACCAAACCGCTTTGTACCCATCTACACCGAGTTAACAAGGAGACAAACCACACAACTTCTTGGGACCAGAGTTTTTCTTGCGGTTCTAAAGCATCGCATCAATACCCGAGCAACAGCAACACACACAAACTTGAATCTCCCAGGGGAGTGCACATTCCCAGTCCTCTCAACTCTAACAGAGATTTCTAACCCTGAGAGGAACAGGGATGCGCAGAGAAGAAAAGCACAGCAAATGTACTCTTTTTCCATGCAGGAGACAGTCAAAGTGCATTACACAAACAAGATGCACTTCCCTACGGTCAGGCTTTAAAAAAAACAAACGATGGTAACTTTTTAAAAGGCAATTCTGTCAAACAAACCCAACCTGACAGAGTATTCTTGATCACAAACAGGTTCACCACAAGCAACCCCATCCTGCCCTCCACAACTGCAGAGCACCTCCCCCTTAAATCCTCAAGTTAACCCCGGTGTCAGTTGCTGTGGAAAGTCCTAGGCCATTCAGGCACAAACATGTATCATTCCTAATATGGAGACTACAGCCACCCTGCACTGAAGGAACAAGATGCATCTCTGACATTAGAGCACCTGCGACCACCACAGGCACGCTTAGTGATGCACAACTGATTTCTCTCCAAAAGCTTTGTGCTGAGGCAGGCACTGCTCTTCAGCATTATACACACGTACAGACCATCATATGGGATTCATCTTGTTTTCCTTTATAGCTGTTTCCTACACAGTGTCCTTATTGTGCAGTCCACAGCCATTGCTGTGAAGATCAAGAAGTCTACCGTGAGAGGTAAGGCTAGCATCTGAGAAGCAGAGGATTACAAAGCAAACATAATTACATGTGCCTTTAAAGAGGGAGCAGATCCAGAAGCACAGGTACAGCCAAAAACTCACAGGCAAGTTGGCTGCATCAAAAAATAAAGTCACAATCTTCTGTTACTATCATGTGCTGCAAGTACCAAGCAGATTTACAACAATGCAGCGCAAGATCAACAACGCTACACTGCATGACAGCCTTTTGGTAACTGTTTTGTCTCACTCCTCATCTGAAGGATCAGTAAAAACAGAACCTGCAAGGTGAATCTGCAGTTTTTTGTGAAGCAGAAACTCCCTTTCTAGCTATGTTGGGAGTCCTAAAATACACTAAAGGCTAGGAGCTTTACTGTAGGAGCAGATCAGTCACTGCATCACTGCATGGATCGCTGCACAGCATAAGAGTTGGATGTAACTGTACTGTAGGTATATGTATGGGTATGTGTGTGGGTTTGGACTCTCAAAGAATAGTCCATGTTCCTTTTCTGCTTCCATCCTGTGCTCTTTGTCTGCCACGGCACAAGATACTCATCATGCGATGGCAGAGAAGGATATGCCCCTGGGGCTGTACAGCACCAAAGCAGCAGCATCGAGCCCTCTCCTAACTTCCAAACCCTGCTGTTATCGCCTGCTGGTAGAGCAACTTCCTCCTTACTTAAGCTGCACAAGTTCCCTTCTTTCAATGGCGATGAATAGAAGAGGAAGCTGAAGTCATATCTTTCTTTTGGATGTGGATTTCCTTTTATTTCTTTCCCCCCTTCCCTCCCCCCTTTATGTCCTTTGACAAAAGCTGAAGAGCATAAAGCCGGAAGGGACATTACCTAACAGTTAGTAGAATGCAGGTTATTACACCACTCTCCATTCAATCAACAAGTGGCATTTCATAAGTGTTTTCAAGAAAGGTTCCCCTAAATGGCATCAACAAAATTGTTAGATTGCAACAGCACTGACAACACTCTCTCCCCTTGCACAGAGACAAGCCTGAATAAGATTCAAATTGGACTTTAGGATTATTCTCCTGACCTTTATCTTTGGATTATGAGATTTATTAGCTGTAATACACTTAGTGGAGGGCTGTAATTCAGGGAAAAATATACTCATTTACTTTCTTATCAGAACAGAATTCCTTCTAGGATGCATTGTTACTGCTACTTTAAAAGGACAATACAAGAAAACACCCAGAGACCATCACCGAATGTCAAACAGATTACTGAAATGTTTGCATATGCTCTGAAGGTCCTTGTCAGTGAGTACGAACAGAAAAAGTAAAGGTTATATACATACTTTTTGTACTAGTGGTAGTAGTATAAATGTACTGTTGGGAGTAAATTTAAACCTTTATTCACTGGGTAGATGAACACCGCTGGTAGCCATACATGCTAAAAATACATCCCAAAGTCTGACTAAAGATGGTTTTCCAGCCTTTCAGCTTCTCTGTTCCCACACACTTGCCTCCCTATTCCCCAGGAGCCACTAAAGGTATCAGCATGTCTACAAAGAAGATATATGCCTATTGAACAGAATTGCTTCTCTTAATTACCATCGCAGATGTCCTCCAAGTGTAACACAGACCAAGGGTTCAGAGCAGTCAGTGACCCAAGAGGATTCTAACTCTCAAGATTCAAGAAATAAGAATGAAAGGGACCTCCAGAGCTCCAGCTGTCATAAGGAATAATTACACCATATAATGTTCATGAATGTTCCACATTCTCCATCTTAAAACTTACTAGAACTGAAGGAGACAAAACCCTCAAAATGAGAAATGAGAAGGTGGCCTCAAAACCTCACTGAGGTTCAGAACCTCTGGAAAGACTGTGATTTCCTGCAGAAATGTTTTCCCAGTCAGCTTGTACCTACGCTGTTCTTGTGCCAACATTGTCCTTTAGTTTAAATAGTTCTTGTCCCTTCCTGGTTATTATTCACCACAGTATTTATAGAAGGAATTCATATGCCTCTTCAGACCTCACTTTGCTGAGCTAAATGGGTTGTGTCCATTTAGTTTCCTCTTAATGGGGATCTTTCCACTCTTACCATCACAGCTCTTCTCTACACCTCTTCCCAGTTTAATTTTGCCTTCTTGACCATCAGTGTCCAGAACTGTACACAGAATTAGAAGAGGGTCTCATACCTCAGTTAGTGCTTCCATCTCTGAACCAGAAACACTGCCTGCTACACTTTAGGGTTAATTCTCGCAGCCTAATATAAAGTGCAAGTCTGCCTTTCAAACCTTTACAGAGCATTTCTAGCCTTACACTAAACAAGACAATAGAAAACCTGCTCCCAGAACCTAGACAAGGTATGCAGAGAAAAGAATTTGTTTCTTCCCAGTGACATTCTTTTGCTTTTTATTGATATCCTTGGTTTCAGCTGCTTGCCTATTTGCTCCAAGCCTGCAATGCTTTTCTTGTGCTTTAAAGCCAATAACCCACAAATAAACTTGCCATCTAACGTAACTGCAAATCTGAGATCTGAGGCTAAGTGTCAAACCCCACAGATATTGATGTCAAGAGCAGCTAAGTAAATATGTACATTCTCAACTTGACAAAAATCCTTATTTTCATCTGCTGTTTTTCTTAGCACAAAAAAGGAGGGGCTCTGAGCAACACGGTTAGATCTAAAATGAAAATTTGCACCTCCAGGCACTTGAAAGAAAACCAAAGAGAACAACAGAAGAGAAAACCTTCAGTAAAAAACAGATGTGATGAGAGGAGTCCCTTTTATCCAATGACAGACAGCAAGGATGTGCACTGCACAGTGGAGATCCAAATCCTTCTGCCTAAAGAAGCCTGAACCCACACACACCGCAAAGTGGAAGAGCAGACTGGGCTGGAGTGTGCCCACCTTTCTGACTCTGGCTCCCTCTGGATCCAGTATGAAAGCTGGGGTGGTTTTGTTGCTGTTTGGTTTAGAAACAACAATCACCAAACCAGATGCCGCACTTCCCTGGGAGGGCTCCAACACCCAGCCTTGAGTAGCTCTTAGTCAATGTTAGGGTGAAGCATCTTAAAAGTAAAACAGCTCCAAGCTTAGGAGTGAGCCCTCCTGAACCAAGAGACTCAGAAACTTACTTGTCTGATGGGTTATTCAGCTTCTCATCACAGTGCCAAACACCTCTGCCATACCCTGCTGACTGTTAACTGCAGGAGAGCTGCACAGCACCACGAATAC